ATCAGTTAACTTTTTTTTTTTTTCAGTGGCCCTAATCCTCTTCCGTAGAAAATAACTAAGAATCCTGACAGGAATTACCTAGAAATATAAATATCCTGTTATTTTCCCAGAGTGGGGAAACTGAGGATTGAAATGTAGGAATCTAGTGTAGATTTTCTGTTTTCTGTGTATCTGACCTCAACTAATACTGCCTGAGAGACGCTGGCTGTTGGATTGCACTACATGAGGAGGAAAAAAGTCTTCTGTTCAGATCTTCCTGTTGAGCACAAAGATTTATTTAATCTAGAATTAAAAGGCCATGAAATATGACTGCAAGTGAAATGTTTATTTTATTTATTCATTACCCAAAAAGAAATATGTCCTGCAAATGATCATATTATTGTTATTATTAGTGAATGGGCAATACTTTGCAGGTTTCCTGTTTAGTTAGACCAAATGTTGGTCAGCTTTGTCTGAAGAGAGAAGCTGGACATTGAATGATGTAAATAATAAATAATAGTTTGAAAATTAAACACACACCATTCACCTGTGAGGGATAATTTAGCTGCTCCAGCAACCAAAATGGAAACTTGATCATTTGTTAAACCTTCATCCTCGAAGGGGGAATGTCACCAGACAATTCTGTTGCTTTACCTTACATCCATGAATAATGTCATAATTTAAAGTACAGACCCTTAAAATAATCTAATTTGTTTTTTATTAGCATTTTTCAGTCACGGAAAAAGGAGAGAAATTAAAGCAGCAAGATGCATTTTAGATTTTTATTTATGAACTTTTTAATCTCACTGAGTCGAAGTATGACAATAATACGTCTTCAGAGAATCAAGAAGTTCCTGCAATGACTGAAAACCTTTATACACATTAAATACAGCAAACTAAACGGATCAAACATGGATCCTGTTCACACTGGGCTTTCATTAAGATTCCAGATCTAAAGGATTAGATTTTATTAATGCAAATAAACATTCAGTCACATCAACCTACTGGGAATATATCTGTTATTATTAATTAAAATAATATATTAATAAAAAAGGCTAGCTTGTTTTTTTTAGTTTCCTTTGATAAATGAGCAAATTGTGAAAAGTATGAGGAATTAAATGGACATTTTTAACACCTCAGACAGTTTATTCCTAAACTACAAACATTTCAGCCACTGAGTCCTTACCACACGTAGAAAGTAGCACCTTTATAGATGATGCACAGAGGAATTCACTGTTGAGTTTTTAATTTTTTTTATTTCACTGTTGCATCTTATGATTGCTATTTAAAGGGTTTGTTTATTGAAAAATAAAGTGATTAACACCTGAGCAAATGTCTTGCATAAACAGAGAGATTTTGTTTCTGTTAATCATGTTTTAGTTCTGAGAATCAAAACATATCAACTGGTAGGAAACAGCTGCTGTGTTTTAAACGTGTTTTGGTGTACAGGAAGAAAGACGTTTTTTGTTCATAAAAGCCACTGCCATCCCCCACAATAAATGCTTGTCTCTCTCTATATCTGGCTGCTTATCTGGATTTTTCTGTTGACGTCCAACTCCAAGAAATAAATCATTTTATTCAGCCGTATTTGCTTGTAAATGTTTGTTTTTTGCAAACCTTGTTCAAGGTTTTTGTAATCCTTGAACGTTTGTGAATTTGAATAAATAATGTCCACCCCCTGTTCGTCTTTGGAGACAGGAATATAAAAACACCTATCTTGAAAGTCATTTAAGTTTTTGTGTGTGTGATATATGGTTCAATTCAGTTTATGTATGTAGTGCCAATTCACAACACAGAGTTTACAAATCTCAACCCATTCTGCAGTCCCAGCGTTCGCTATTTATTGAAAGGAAAGACTACATGGGTGGGGGGGGTGGCAGATAAGGAACTCAGACTTGCAGTCTCAGTAAACATGTCCTCTAAATCTCAGGGTTCAGTCAAAGTTAAAGCTGTTGAAGCTCTTCACCAAAGTTCAGCAGGTCGAGTGCTGCCTGTGGATCAACCACAACCTCCCCAAAAGCAAATCTACAAATCACAGTATACTTCAGAAAAGATGGCTATGAACACATGCACACAGCTTTATGCATGATAACACTACACAGATACATTTATATACAATTATTCTAACAAAAGGCAACTGTCAACCAGCTCCACAGGCGGCCC